GCAAGAAAAAGTCCGACCGTCCATCGACCCGTATGAAAAAAAAAGAGAACAGTAAGAAACGAGTCAATGAAAAGGACCACTAAAAGTACGTAAAAACAAAAACGAAGAGAAAACCGAGAAGAGAGAAAAAAACAAAAAGCCGTAACCATAAGTAATCGCAAAAGGAAGAAAAGATTAACAGAAAGCCCGAAAACTCAAACAGTAACAGTACTGGCAACCCCCCACCCCATCGAATTTAGTAGCGCAAGAAACAACCTGGTGACAGACACAAACAATAAGCCGCCCGTTCTTAATATCTTTTTGCCTCACGCATTTCACGAACAACCGCCTCACTAATGATAATTACCCTTGAACGTACCAAAAAGCTGAAACAGTAACGGCAAGGAAAACCATCGCGTTTCGTAACATTAACCCCCCTTCGTGATTTTCACCTACGACTCCGAACTTTATCAACTACGTACGTTACTTGAGGAAGACTACCCGTTTACGGACTGGTCTCACCCTTCGCCTTGCCCTTCTCTTTGGTTGCACTGCCGAAATGAAGCAAATCCTTCAAGCTTCCGAAAAGGCTTCTCTTCTTCGTCTTCAACTCTCGGTTATCACCATTCTCAAGGCTCTTCTTAGGTGACCTGTGGCCGTTTCCATTGGCCTCAGTCTCCTTCTCACTCTTCATATCGGTTGCGTTTCCGTTAGGCGCGAACCCATTCTCAGTCCTAGAAGGGACGGTCTCGGCTTCATGCTTAAGGACAATCACGGGCTCGCAAGACAGGTCCCCAGTCTTGTGTTCCTGCTCGAACTCCTTCTTCAGCTCAACGGTTTCGGAAACACCGGCAGCTTCAGGAACGGCGTGCTGAGTGGGTACGGCGTTGAGGGTAACTGGAGGGGTATCGTGGAGAAGCTCCTGTTCAACCTCCTTCTTGGCCTCAACGGCAGCCTCGACAGCACTAGCTTCAGGTGCGACCTGGGCCACTTTCTGGGAGTCCCGAACGATTTCTGGAACGAAAGCTGGGGTGGTTTCTTCGTTGGGTTCACCAGAAGCACTGGCAATACCGGCCGCAGCCATTATTCCGCCGACAGTGGTGTTTGAGTCGACCTTGGAGGTCTCGGTTTCTGAAATAACGGGAACCTCGGTCTTGAGCTCCTCCTCGACTTCCTTCTTCTGCTCAACGACTTTAGGGATAGTAGAAGCCTCGGGTTCGACCTCAGCCTTCTCCTGGCTCTCCTTCACGATCTCAGGAATTTCAGGAGCTGCCGTAGCTGCAGCGGTACTGGTGATCGGAAGAGAGCTTTCGGGGATGGTGTTGCCGGTGACAACCGGAATATCAAGGACACCACGGCCCTCAGCTTCCCGCTGGGCAGCAGGAGTAACAACGTCAGGGAGAACAGGAGCTCCATTTAGCCCGAAACCAAGGTTTGAGGCGTCTGCCTTCTCGTATGACTCCTCATCAAGCTTAACGTGCTTGTTGACATCTTGAGTAGTAACATCGTTGGCTGGGATGGGTTCACCAGGAGCGAGGTTAAATGGGTTTGTTGCGGTATCGGAAGCTGGAAGAGGCTTAACAGAAAATTCCTGTGCCTCCTTCTCAACAGCTGGGGTCTCGATGAAGCCACCTGGGACATCGGTGGGGCCGGGAGTAGAAACAGGGGGGGTGTTCTCTAGAGGAACCGCCGCTGCGAGTGCAGCTGTAGTGGATTCGGGGGCAGCAGAGTTGATAGTAGCGGCTGACATGTTGCTCTCTTCTGACTGCTCAGGGACAATATCTTCGGGGATCAAAAGGTTGTTTTCGATTCCGTTTTCGAATTCTCTGCGTGCTGCTTGATCAACGACCCAGTTGCCGTCTACAACAAACTATCGCGAGTAACAAGAATCAGCAAGACTGCATAAGTTATATGTGGCCAGAAAATGATCATGCTAGTGAAGAGCTGAAAAGAGCCGAAAAGACCAACCCCGCCCCACTCAAAGAAGAGGTGGGCATAGATGAGTCTCATCAAACCCCACTCGGAATCCGAAATCCGCGCGACATCACGCTAGCATTCCAGATACAGAGTTTAAAATAAACGAAAACGGGTATCCCCAGAAGTAACCCAGAAACAACAGAGATCGCAAACAAAAAATTAAGAGAATCAATAAAAACGTACCTTGTATAATGTCTTCTCAACTGGTAGTTCTACCTTCGCAACAAAGGCTTCCCCCTCCTTCTCCAGTTTTGTACTCTTTTCCCAGTTGTCGAAAGTACCGGTGACGTAGACCTCACCAGCTGGGTAGGCCCTGTTTTACAAACAGTAACCAATCAGTCGATATTCCCTACTAAACTTTTTGCGGGGGGCCGAGCAATGCAACCAAGCAGGCAGGCAACAACCAAGTATCGAGCCGTAACACCGAGATCCCGGGAAGGAAAGGCGACGACGATGACTGGTTCCTAGTGGTTGCCTGCGAGCATGACGGTGCAACCACCGAAAGGGAATAAACACCACCACCACATTCGGCCACCGGTGATGAGGTAGGTGATGAGGTAGTAACCAGACGAATGTTTTAGAATCAAGGAATGAGGAACAAACCATTTGAAAGTAAAGTATCCAGTCATTTTGGCTTGTAATTATAGGCCGCTTGATAAGACTGTGCCCGGGTCACTTATTAAAGTGTTTTGTAGAATCTATAAGAAAAGCGCACTGTGAGTAATTCCCTTCAAGATAGTATATGTGGTATTAAGAGAGATAGAGAGGTGTGATGAGGAGGAGGAGGATGAAAGGAGGAAGGGAGTGAGGAATATAGAGGTGGTTGATAGAGATAGATAGGTGGTGAGATAGGGAAGATGTGGGAGAGGGGCGATATAGATAGAGGAATAGATAATGTATCAAGAGGAGGACGAGGACGAGCAGAAAGCAGCGGATCAAGGTGGTCGTACCTGTGAATAAATTCGATTCCAATCTTCAATTGCCTTCGTATGCAACCCAATCTTTTCACAAAGGATAAAATTCTTTTGGAAAAAATACCGCGGAAGATGTGCAGGTCAGTGCAGTGCAGAACGGTAGGTGGTATGTAGTCGCGGACTGATTGCAGTAGTGGTTTAGAGGTATGAGAGGCAAAAGCAAAAGCAGGAGAGTGGAAGTCAGTTAATCCAGTAGGCAATAGTAGTGATATGTATGGTGCAGTAGGTGGTATGGTGCAAGCAATAGAGCAAGCAGTAAGTAACTTGAATTGGGTGTTCAGTTCAATTCAATGGTGGAAGACGACGACGAAGAAGTATGCAGCAAAAAGAAATGTGCAGTAGGCGCAGGAAGAAGAAAAGTTGGCTGTCGGCGGTGGGTACTAGGTACTTTCTCTTTGGCTGGGCATAGGAAAAAAGAAATTAAGAGGGAAAAAGTTGGGCGGGCGAACGATAAGTGTCCTTCCCCTTGTGTGAGGCAGAAGCAAAAGCAGAAGCAGGCAACTAAGCCGGTAGACCGCCGTAGTCTGTAACCGTATGCCGTAGACCGTATCTACTCATGTTGCCTGGCACCAGCCAGCCGTGAACGGTGTTGCTTAGGTGACTAGATTATTGGAGTCGCTTGTGAGGCACAGGGCGTACCGCAGGATAAACTACTCTAAATCAGATGCAGCAGCAAGCATCCAGCATCATCCAAACACCATACATGAGAGGTACATCCACATCCACATTTCACATCCATATCCACATTCACCGTCCATCCAGCAGCAGGAGCTTGCAAGCAGCAGCAGCAGAGGCAAGGCAGGCACAGGCCAGATGGCTAGCGAGAGATGAGATAGGTATCAGGTACCCAGTCACCCCGACATTATTCGTTCATTCGCTCAATCTGTTTGCCACGGTTCGTGAGCAACTTCTCAGAACGGTCAGAGAAACAGAATGCGGCCCCATAAACAACAGACATATGCATCCTCTGCAGCTCTCTATCTGCATTACGGATTTTCCACGAAAAAAAAAAATGTTTCCAACGGGCTTGCCTCTCCGTTCTCCGTTCCCAGCAAAACCCCAGCCACAGAAAACTTCGTGAACGTTTCCCCGTTGCGGTAACGCCAACCTCTCAACCCTTGTCCATACCAGACCCAGTTGCTGCCAAGTTTAATTGAAAATACCAAATTGCCAAGACAATGTCTGTTAAAAAAAAAAAACTCCCCTCCATGCATGAGGCGCACCGCACCAAAAGGACCTACATGTCGCATAAAACGTCATTGCTTCAGCAATTTGTGCACCCAACCTACGCTGCCCAGGCCTGCTGCATACGGAATAATATTGCCATAGATAGCCCGAAGGCAAGTTGCAAACAGGAAGGCAAGAGAGGTAAAAGAGTGTGAATGGATGACACTGCTGCGGCGGTGGGAATAGTATCCCTAGACCTCCTTCCTCCACACATCCACCACCCCTTCCCCAAGCCTCCCCGGTTCGTTCCTCCCACTTCCTCGTCTGTCCTCTTGTCCGACCCCACCCCTAATGCTATCTAGACTACATCCGAGTAAGTATGTACACATGTACATAGAAGTACAGGATATGTAGAGTACAGCTCTAGAGGTGCACAGCTACCTGCTCAATGTATGTACAGCTTACCACATATTATCTGCTGCTGCTGCTCACGGTCCATATTGCGATACTCTTGCAGAAACTCCTGTTCTTGCACACTTCCGAGTGCCATGGTTTCTCACTTACCTATCAGCATCTTACGAAAGATCATCCATTTTTACTCAGGCCGTTATCAATCCAAAACGCGCGCTCAACAATATGCAAAGCACACACATCCACCCAATCGCTCCTTATCTCTACGCCCACGCACCTCTACACCACACACCCACTAAAAACCTACCACATACATGTCTATCCTTCCACATGTGAAAGTCGAAGGGTTTCCAAAAAAATAATAGTACTAGTACACAAACCCAAATAAATTTGTCTATGGACAGAATCAAAACAATCGGCTTGCTTCCCCGTCCAAAATTATACTTACATACATGGACCGGTCCAAATTCGGTATTCCCATGCTCTCTGCCCTCAAACTACGTTAAACACCCCCGAAACGCCTTCAAACGCCGTGATTTTCCCTCCAAAAAGCGCCTTTGAGTCGCCATAGTACCTAATCCTATATTGCCCAGCCGGTGTACCCGATTCAACCGTCCACGTAATGGTAACCTGGCTCTGTCCGGTCAATTCCTCTGTCCGCTTCCACTCGTAGACCAAGTTCCAATCGGTATCATCTCTAACCCTGGCCCACGTCCCCGACTCGTTTTTTTCAACTGCTGCGAATGTTCCTTCCAGTCTCAGGTTATTTCTCGGGTTCGCCCCGACAAAGACGACCTTTACCATGGCGCCGATCTGGTACGGACCCATAACGTCTGTCAGGACACTCCCGAAGCTCTTTCCTAGTGGCGGGCTATCTTGCACCACGCCAGTGATAAGCGAGATCGAATTATTGGTGTTGATCGGCGGTTTAGCGCCCGTGGGCAGGGGAGTTGACGGAACTTTTGCGGCGAGGTACGGTGCGTAGGTCTTGTAAAGAGATATGTACGCATCCAAGCTATTCCATTCAATGCGGTTGAAGCAAAAATGCTCCCCTCCAAAGTTAGCAACCGGAAGCGCCAAGAAGAACAGATTGTAGAAGACGAAGAATCCTAAAAAGATTCAAGACATACAACCCACACAGTCGGGCGAGTTTCGAATTGAGTTCGAGGGGGGTTTCAAAGGTGAAAAATAAAGGTACCGGGGAAAAAAAGAGAATGATTTTCAAGACACGTACGTAAATTGCCCATAAAGTGTGCTGGCACCTTCGTATCTCTGTATGGCATACTCTTCAGCAGTCGCGATGTAGTGCGTGTACGAATTGGCTGGCCCCCCGAGCACCGTCCATCCGGATTCTTTACTAATTATTCCCAACTTGTCGAGTTCATCAACTACGGCTGCTTTCCAGCGACGTCCTGCCATCGTCGTGGCTTCTCCAGGTGCCACGATGATGGCGAGCTGCCCTACGCGGAACATTTGAATATCGACGATGTTCGGTGTCCTAACGGATTCATTACCAGGGCATTAGCTTCCGATCTTCTGCATGGAAGCTCGGGCGAGGAAGAATAATAGAATTTTATCATATCTTACTCCCTTCTCACCAAGATCTTATGTCATTTGATCTTGTAGTGATCGAGAAGCACGATAGACACGATGAGAATCTCAAACCTCCAGGGGCACCGATACTCATCGAGAAAGAAGGCAAAGAAAAAGAAACAAAAGAAAGAAACCAAAAAGAAAGCCATGACATACCAAGCATAGGGCTGATCCATTTCACCTACGTTCAACAGAATTGGCTTTGGAGCATGACAATCCTTTTGCTCCTTAGTCGGAATCTTCAACAAATTCCTAACAAGTAGCCAAAACGGGTTACTAGGCGCGCCTGGATCGTTCTGCGTGAAATCCGCGAAACCTGGCCAATCCGTGGTTCCAGCTGCGAAGCTGAACCCTAACGCAGCCTTGCATGTTTTCCACATAGATCCGTTAGAGAGCTTAAACTTGTACCCTGCTCCGAAGTCGACAAACGTATGTAGACTGCGCACGATCCCACCGTCGCCGGACACGGGTGTCTGCGCTGCGCTACTATCGCTACTATCGCTACCGCTGCCGCTACTACTACTGTTACTACCGCTGTTGTAGATCTGCTTCGCTCCCAAGTACTGTGTCTGCCCGATAATGCGGCACGATTCCGTGTCAGAGATTTGGAACGCCGGGCCGCGACCTCGACATTGCTGAGAGACCCCGTTGCATGTTGAGTCCTCGTATCTACATTCTAGTCCGGTATCCTGGCAGACTGGGCCGAGAGTGTTTGGAGATGTATCGCCGACGTTAGCTTGAGAGAATCCAGCTACAAAGCCATTTCCGAGATCTTTTTCGAGTTGAAGAGCGGCGTAGCCTTTGTTGTCCCCAGCGATGAGTGTATTATTCCCGTAGAGAGAGGTCCCATGAACGGGGAACCAATTGAGGAGCCTGTAATGCTTTTTTAGAGTCAATGATAAGTTCTTGTGTAATAGATCATTATAATGGAAGATATATTCAGGGAACACAGACCCAAGAGGCGTGCCATCTTCTTTCTTAAAAGAAAGAACCGTCATCTCCTTATCTACATCTCCACCCACATCTTCATACTTGGCTCTCTCCTCCGCCGGGTTTGCCTCATACGCATAAGGGCTACGATTGACGTTTGCATCACTTACTAGTCCCTTAGCAAGGGATAGATAGCCCGGCGTGAGCGATGTATGAGCCCGCTTAATAGAGAGAACGATGCCCTCCACGATAGCAGAGTACGACTGCGAATCAAACCCCTGCGTCGTTATCTGGGGGAGTAGATAATTGAGCCATGCACCTAAAGTGATCCGAATAAGCTCTCAGGTACAGTAAAATAAACTTTGACCCCCTCCTGCAACTCAATTCCACTTAAGATTCCCAACAACCCAACAACAGTCTCCAATTCCAATTTAGGTTCCATAACAAGAAATGAAATATCACTCCAGAGTGTCAAAGATGAGGTATCGGTACTTACCAGGCCCAGCATGACTATGCGTCCCCACCACAGCCACATTGTTCTGCCCGTAAACGCCAGGAAACGCCACTTCCAGCCCCTTTAGAACACCATCCCTTATCGCGGTATCACCACTTTGCACATCTACACTCACATAGACGAATCTGTCCTCCGGACTATTCACATCTGCAACTATAAACGCTCGAGAATGTATCCGCTGTCGAAGCCCTGATCCTTTCTGTGCGAGGTCGGCGTACCCCATCATTCCGATCTCAACGACGGGCCCAGTGACATCGGCACGACCAACGCCGAGAAGGTATTTATCACCTACAGCTTCATCTTGGGAGAATACTTGGAGGAATAGGAGGCATATCAAGGGTAGGATGTGATGTATGAGATGCATCTTGGAGCACACCTAGCTATTATAGGTAGGCAACGACGTTGATGTTCTTGGGGTGGTAGAATATGTTTGAGGTCTCAACACTAGATGCTACTCAAGATAAGGTGTAAGTAAGCACATGTGCGCATTTAGAAGGAAACGTATGGTGAAGCTTAATATTTGGTGCTACTCGCCTATAGAAGAATAAGGTAAGGCCAATCACAGGTAGACGTTAATTCAAACCTGAAGCTTTGATGTTGTTAGAAGCTTCAACTAAATGTAAAAGTAAACAAGATTTAAAAGCAAACGAAACAATCGATCAAATAAAGTCTCACCTACCCCCAAAGTTTAAGCACTAGGTACCTCCCTTGAATGTCGGGTTACCCCACAATATCAAATAGAATATTGAATATCAGGCTAGCTACGCACTTTTCTGCTGTAAGGTATATTGACAGTATTGATGAAAATCGCAATAAGATCCTCTAAAAGCAATAAATCTCTCGACACATGCAAGAGGAGGTCGTGATGCGCAATGACGGAAGGTAATAGAACCGAGAAAGGTAGGGTTTATTGCCAAGACCCAGGGATCTTTGTCGATCATTGGCCTCGGGTGTGACACAAACAAAGGAGGGTTGAGCAGAAAAAGAAGGTGAAGGTGATGGGCCGGTTGTCGGTGAGTGATGGTAAGCAAGGTTCGGTAGTTGCCTGGAAGATAGCTCTGGGTGGATAATTCTGAGGTGGGTTAATCTAGAGCATGTAGGTACATACATACAAGGTACTTTATTATTGACCTTATCATCAATAGCTGCATGTAACCATAATCATAGCAGTAAAGACGAAGTCCATGGAATTACTCCCGTCTGTTCCATTTTCGTACTCTATACCCTAGTCTAAATGTGGGGGTGATATATTATATACATGTAGCTGATATATAGGTACATAGCAGCATAGATGTATTAAACACACCATCATGTACCGGTACTACGTACATGCAGTGAGTACAAGATGTCACGAGTTTCGAATTTCATCTCGGTGCTCGTTCTGCCGTGCTAATTAGCAAAGTTGAAACTATTAAAATAAAGTCGTAGTCGTGATTGAAACTGCATTTGGTTATCTGCACGCGTACGCGGGTGCAAAGGTGAAAAATCTAAATGATCCGAGGAAATAAGTATACGGGTCGATTTTCGTCTGTCCCGGCGATCAAGACAATATGATACATATTCTACATATAGTTAACACCGAGGAGATGTGAACCAGCACCGCATTGATGAGGTTGGCTCATCGACCCAAATATGTATTAAAAATCTCGAAATTATTATTGATCGTTTCAAGCACTAGCAGTACATGTACTTATCAGAAACTGAGAATGCCTATATATAGCTATGACCGACTCGGGATCGCAAAGAAGAGACACCTAAGTAATTAACGAGTGTCGCGCAGTGCTGCATAGTACATCCTATAATTCCTTTTCCTTATCGTGCGTGTGACGCAATTCACCACCCGGCCTCCATCCATACAAAATAAGCCTTCTAGATGGTCGGCAAGATCCAATGGATGGCTAAATCACCTCATCTCAAACATACCTGTAGTAAACAACGTACCTACTTGCTCCAGTTGATGAGCATCTCCCATACATTCAACCGCATCGCATTTCACAAAAAAAAAAAATACCCAGCTTGTTTAAAACGAGACCGGGACCAATAGGATCCTGCCCCACTGGGTGGATGAGGATAACGGTGGAGATGGGTGTTTCGATGCCCGCACTTGTATGTACAACCGTATTGGTGTGTTTCATTAAAACTCTAGAGTACTCGCAATTTCACAGCGTTTCCGGACGCAACTGCTATTGCATACACAGAAAAAACCCGCCAAGGCTATCTTTTGTATGGCATGCAATAGTGGTCGCGTCCGGAAACGTCAAAAAACTACGAGTATGTGTAGCTATATAGCTACATACATAACCTGGTTGGTCTGCCAAGCACGTGTTGAAATCTAATCGGACCCAATTGACATGTCCCTGATGGGCTATATCTATAAATGGAAGTTTCGATACATTACTAAGTAAGCGTCACTTTAAAATCAAAGAGGGAGCAGGGAATTTGATGGATATCCACTCCGTAAGTTCTAGAGATTGATGTAGAGTTTATGTTGATAAATTTAATTAATGGTTTAGTTGTGGTTATAGTTTAATTAACTATGGGCGGCCTACATAGCTCGAATACCTCACAAAACGGTTCTCAACCAATTCTAGTGAAATAGCGATAATCTCAGTTAGTCGAACTGGTAGCACATATATAAAAAGACCTCGATTAACCAACCCTTCTCACGCTTCAAAAAATGTGGTTATCGTCTTTGCTCTTTTATCAGGCCTAGGGCCGGGCCGGCCCTTATAAGCTTAAGCTCCAACCCAGGACTACGTATGTACGTACTTACGTAACGTACATTTGCACAGATATTCGTTACGAGATGTAAGATCTCGATCTCTACTATATATCAGTAGGTAGTATGCAGATATGTCAACCTAGAGACGGAGGAGGATCAGAGGAGATGGGACTGGCCATTAGGTAGCTGCGACTTTATATTGTGGGAGACACTACTAAGGCGTAACTCAGTGATTCACGACCTTTTACTGAACGCCTAAGTAATATATAGGGTGAGAATAATAGAGACAATTTGACGTTTCGAGCCGGGGTGAACTAGTACTGGGGTGCATATATTATCTTGACTAACTATATATAGTGTAGTGCGCTGTATTTACTATCGTAATGATTTATATTGATTCACGGATTCAAGTTGTTTTTACTTCTGTGCCGGTATGCAGTACTCGAACAAAATCATGTAACTTTATATTTACGCCTGTTATAGTATGCTAGTAGAGGACCAACTTGTTCAATCCGAGTGTGAATAACCTGTCGGTTCTATCATTCACACCTAGTGCTCTAGGTACATGTAGCTACATGTACTTACAGCCTCCGATAGAATTATTGTGGAAAACAGGGACAACGATCACGCCGAGAACAGAGCGATTCTCCAACGCCACATTTCCGCAATAATTCTACCGGAGGCTGTACCTATCTTATTTCTAGTGAATGCAACGTTAACAGACTTGGCGCCTGGCTTGTCGACAAATCCTAGCATCATCACGGACTCAACCAGTAAACCCATCATCAACGTGCAAAATGGCACCCAAAAAACCTGCCAAAAACCTCCCACCGAAAGAATTGCCAGTAGCCCCACCTACTCTTCCTTGGCCACGTCTCCATCCTCTCCTCCCTGCATCCTCGCTCTCCTTGCAGTCAATCCTCCCAGAGCAAATCGTTACGATCCCAAACTTCTTCACATCAACTCTATGCAACACGTACCTCTCCTTCCTCCAGAAAAATATATCGCTTACGACAACCCCCGGCAAACCGAAGAGGGGTGAAGCAGTACGCGTTAATGATCGGTTCCAAACCATGGACGAAGTGTTTGCGAAGACTTTATGGGAGCAGAGTGGACTTAAGGAGATTGTGGAGAGAGAGGAAGATCAGGTGGGGTTGTGGGGTGGAGAAGTGGTGGGGCTAAATCCGAATATCAGGATCTATAGATACATGAAGGGACAGTTTTTTGACAAACATTGTCTGTATCCATGCATAATCACTCTACTGGTTTCCTTTTTCTTTTTGTTTCTAACCAATAGCATAGATGACGATTCCAACCTCCTTCCTTCATTCCCCACACCCAATGCTTCTGGGTCTTCGAGAATACCCTGCGAGACAACATGGACGCTACTAATATACCTCACAGGCCCTGCTGATGGTATAGTCGGCGGGGAAACGGTTTTCTACACAGAAGCTACGAAGAAGCTAAAAAGTGAGGAGATTGTTGTGGAGCCAGAAAAGGGACTGGCACTATTACACAGGCATGGGAGGGATTGTATGCTGCATGAGGGTAGGTTAGTGAGTGAGGATGGTGGAGTTGGGAAATGGGTGCTGAGGAGCGATTTGGTAGTTCGAAGAGCAAAATAATAGGGTCGCTGATTTGTTATCTCTATTTGAGTTTCAGCTTTCGAGTTAAGTCTTCTGTGTTATCAAACGTGGGCTACATAGTGTATGATGAGTCAGCCACTTTGAAATAGTGGCGGTTATCATGATGCCTGCTTGATAAAGAAGTAAGTGTCCTCGTGGATGTCTCTGGAATTCAACGAGATGTGGAGGTTTTTTTTTCCCTTTTTTTTCCCTGATAAAAAACATTTTGTAGAATTATTACAACTTTTGGGAAAATTTCCATGCAGTCATTTCTAAAGCTTTCCCTTTTCAAGATCCTATTGTGGCTTCCAGATAAAGATTGTGGCGTGTGGTACAGAAACTGCTGAGTCATTCTATCATCAGGCTTGTGACTACACCAAGCTTCGTCAGCCCAGGTTCGTAACTTCAACCTCGTCTCCCGACCCCCGTAGCATCTCCACCTTCGTCTCCATTCGCAGTACGACTTAGACTACCTCCATCGTTCGCTTTCTCTTTCTCTCCCTCAGTAGATATCCACAAAAAAGCCAGCTCAAGTCCCTTCAACCCGTTACGTCACCTACAATGTGGAACATGCTATTTGGTCCCTCGGCGGCAAAGAAGAAGGACATTCCGAAGAAGGCTATTCTCGATGTTAGACAACAGCTGGAGATGCTCCAGAAGAAGGAGAAGCATCTTGAACAGCAAATAGAAGAACAGGACAATATCGCGAGGAAAAATGTGCAGACCAATAAGACAGGTTCGTGATTTCCCCTCCCCCTCTTTCTTATACCATCATAACCTCCTGAACCGTGCCTGGGGTGCTTGTCCGATGTCTTGATGAAAGGGCTGGAGTGTTTTAATGTAGATGTTATCTACCGTTGCACTGGGGCTACACAGGGAATATAGGTTCGGGGGTGGTGGTTTGGTGTGCATCTCGTGATCTCGGGTATGGACTAACAGTGAGATAGCTGCGATGACCGCGCTCAAACGCAAAAAGATGCACGTAAACCATTTGGCTTCTACCCAATCACAAATAGC